TCCCACCAGACCTCAACCTCTGTGACTTTTAGCTATGGGGTTATCTCAAAAGCACTGTTTATGGTGATAATCTAAACAATTTGGCAGAAATGAAAAATGTGATACACTGACATGTCCGTAACATTTCTCCTGATATGCTAAGAGCTGCTGTTGAGAATGCAGAAGTAACAGTAACAGGATTTAACTTGCTTTCGGAAAATGCTGGACGCTACATTGAACATGCTTTGTAACACGTTTCGGAAAATATTAAACACATTTTAAACAGATGTTTTCGTGTCTTATTTCATTTACAATATTGTATACAGCGCCATTTTTCCCCCTGGTGGTGAGTTTTTGAACTCTTTTTTTTTTTCCGCGGAAAAAAAATAAATTTCCATAACCTCCTTTACACGATTCCCAAGTTTGATAACATTTGGTCCGGTAGTTTTCCTTTTATGACCATTTCAAATTGGAACTTTAATTATAACCACCATGTAAATTAAACTTTAAAAATTTGACAGTTTGGTTCAAGTCCCAGCTTTAAAAATATATATATAAATATAATCTTTTATATTAATCCTCTTAGAAAGAATGTTTTAAGAAGCTAATTTTTCTCTCGCGTTATAGATTGTATAAAAAAACATGATCTTTAATATGATTTAGATTGTTTCAGCCGATATAAGAATCGGGTTCTCGTTGGTACAGAATAAACCCTGCTGGACTGTTTTATTTCTTTGTCATTTAGCAAAAATCTTTTAATTAAAATATTTATCCTTTGGACTTCGCTTTTTAAACTTTATTTATAGTTAAAATGACTAGAAAATGAAAAGCTGTCTTCAGCTGAAACGCAATTCATGTAATTGATATTTTAAAAAATTGACAAGAATGCAAAATTTATGGAAGTCTAGCAATCGAAAAATCTTAATTTTCTTGTGTGAGCACTGAAAATAACTGTAGAAGGAAAGAAGAAAATTAGGGAGAAAAGTAAGCAAAAATTTGCAGGGAAATTTGGCTGTCAGACATACCAAGATGTTTCAAAAAGTTGGACGCTTTTGAATATACTTTCAGGATACTTCAAAGAATTTAGGTGTTCAAAGAAAAAAACACTTGGATGTGTACACCAGCAAATACCATCAATTGAGCTTGTGTTAACAGAAAAGACAAAAACGATATCATTGCAGATTAAAGTGAAGAGCGACTGGTTTTAGACTATATGGTTGTATAAATTTAAATTACGTTATAGAACATCATATCGTATCATAAATGGAGAATCCCATGATTTTCTCAGTCGAATTATTTGAAGATTCAGGAGTTTATCCAGTGATGTATGTGGATGTCACCTAAAGATGTTTTTTTCCCTCCTGATGAAACAGCGGCCGAGCGGTAAAGTCGCTGAACCCTGGTAGTTAGGTTCGAGGTTCCGGCGAACGGGCTGGCCGCATGGGCATTTTCGTGGTTTTCCCCATGTGTAACGTGTATACGAGCCAGTTTCCCTTAGAAAGTCCTCCACGAAGGCATCCCTCCCCTTAGGCAGATAGCCCTAGTGTGCTTTGTCATAATTAAATAAACCAAAACCTCTTTTGATGAAACCAGTCTTTCCTTTCATCTCATACCTTCAAAATGTTTAGCCTCTAAAGACTGATAAAGGCTCTGACCAAATATTGATGAAATGGATTGAATTGGATTATTAAGTTACGTCAAAGCAGGGCTATCTGCCTAAAAGGAAGGATGCCTTTGTGAAGAACTTTCTAAGGGAAACCAGCTGGCATACACGGTACACATGAGAAAATCCACGAAAACGCCCATGCAACCAGCCCGTTTACCGGGATTCGAACCCCGGAGTGAACTACCAGTGTTCAGCGACTTTACCGCTCGGCCGTTTGTGGGCCTTTATGAAATGTAAGGCGATAACTTTATTTAAAATGATTGTCAAAAATATCAAGATATTTCGAAAATTTGGATGCTTTTTAATATAGTTGTGGAATGCCTAAAGAAAAAGAGCAAGAATAAAGTAGAATGCCTGAAGAAAAAGAGAAGAAAAAAAAATTTGGGTAAAATTTAGTATTGGTATTTTTTTTTAAATTTAAAACTTTTTAATCTTATGATATTTGATTCTTACGATTTCAAAAATAAAATATTTGACTAAAATATGAATAACATTTAAGAAGCCAAATGTAGGATAAAATTGTGTAAAGCAATGGGCACAATGATAAAACTGTTTAAAGCAGTGTATGCAAGTCATCCTAAGTTAAAATGTCGGTTATACATCTCTCCTATTTATATATATCTTTTCTGAACGGAACATTGAAAGGCGTGTTAACTGTGCTTTACTGTATTTTCTCTTTTAATATATGCAGTTTTCAAACGCATCGTAGTCTGGGTTACAAAGTATTCCTCCGAAAGAAACGCAATTCAAATAAATAAAATCAAATTCTGGAAAATTTATATTAATAAATATATTAAAAATGCTCAATTCGAAGGAATAAATAGAAAATTTTAAAACAATTATCTGAAGAGACAATGCAACACAAACAATTAAAATTAAAAATAAAAAAATATAAAAATAAATAAATATATAGAAATTTAAAAATTACCTAAATAATAACTATGACAAAAAATATATATAAAGAAAACTATTTGAAAAAAATAAACGCTGCACCTTTATTTACGCAGTTCGAATAGGTAAATAGAAAATTTTTTAAAACAGTTATTTATTCGAAAAAAAAAACCATGCAACTTAAACAATTAAAATGAAATTCGAAAAAGAAAAAATTACTTAAAATAATAAGTTATAATTAAAAATATAATATAAAGAATATTATTTGGAAAAAAGGAACGATGGTGACTTTTTTTCCTCTCACAGGAAAGGAAACTAGGTTGCCATATATTAAGAAGTTCGCCAAGTGAACTATTCTTGGCGCAAACTGACAAAAAAGTGCCAACATAAATTTGTGAATTTCTCCGTAAATTTCGCTCCAAATTTTACAAAATTTCATATTTAGGCGTAATTTGAGTCGTAGAATCGAAATATGTAAAAAAATTGGTATGTTATTTCAGAAAAAGTCCGATTTTGTGTCAAAATACCTATGTTAGAATAGTGCTATATATAAATCTAATATATATCCTAAGTCGCACTTTCGAGACATGAAGAATGCAATTTGAATTTTGTCAATCGGCCCAGTAGATCGGGAGATATAAGACTGTCCCATTTTTTTTCTTGAGCAGTGTAGAAATTAAACACAATGTAATCAAACAGTTAATTACAAATGATAATGAGCATTACTTAGAAGTAATTTTCTGTTTCCTTAAGTCTGTGCCCTTTGAATACAGTGAATATAAATAAGGGGGGATAATGGAAAAGCTTGTATGATTCATGTCCATCCATCCTATTTTGTAAATAAATGGTCTCAAAAGCACATCCATGCTTGAACTGATGATTGTGGCTGTTGTGCTTAAACTAATATGCATTAAGATCTTCAGTGGGTTTTTTTTTTTTTTTTTTTTTTTGTGTGGTGTGTGTGTGTGTGTGTGTGTGTGTGTGCAACATCACTGAAGTTTTTCCATAAATGCAATTAAAAAATTAATTTTATTTCATAATTTAAGTCAGCAGATTGGAGAAATTGCTTTTATATACTTTTAGTCCACGTATAGCAGAGAGGCTAAGATTACTGAATACTGGAAGTTCAATTCAGGTTCAGATCTGAGTCCATGAAAATAATCCTTCTGACAACCCAACTGTACTTTATCAAAATTAAATGAATTCAATCTTATCTGTCTTCTTATTCATTTTTTATCATGTACAAATAATTTGGTATAAGATAAAGCTCTTTAGGATTATTCTAGTTTTAAAGCTGGAATTTGCAGGAACAAATTACACTTTTTTGTTTTTTACTTTACTTCTCTGCAATAGAATTGGAATTAATATCCCATTGAAGTCTTTTGTAATGAAATTTTGACTTATGTTTCCTTTATCAAAATTTTAAAACTTAGTTTTCAAAGTTTTATTTCATATTATCTGTAAATAGGAGAAAAGATTAGCACTTATATTGCAGATGGTATTATATTTTTGTTTTAGACTTTTATTAACTCTTCACTTCACAAGTGCATTTTCATGTCACAGAAAATTGACACACTGAATCTTATTAAATCACATTAGTCTGAAAACAAAAACAAAACTGTTGCTATTCTGCATTAAAATAAAATTTTTCACTTATCTTCCATAATCATTTAAAAAAAATCAGTATTTAATGATGATTTTCTATAACTATTATTGTCATTTATATGATTAATGTAAGGGATTTCTAATTTTCTATAGTACTTATTTCAATCATACAGAACTGTGCTTTTTTGCTTAAGAAAACTAAAATTCAAAATAAAACCTAAGATAACCAAATTCTGTTCTGGTTTGTAACTTGCAGTAATCTGTATGTTTCTGCCTATTGATTTCTGCACTTGAATGACATTTTCAAAATGATTGTGATACTTGTTAAGAAGTCTGCTAATGTCATTATGTCATTTTTATATAGTTCTTATTGTTGGAAAAATAGTTAAATTTTAGTAGTGAAATTGTTTTATTACTCATTGAAATGCAAAATGGTTTTTATTTACATTTTAGCTTTCCAGCCTCTTTCTAAAAATCAAAATTTACCCTAATGTATTACTCTCAACTGGAAATAAAGAAAATCTATGTCATAGACCAGCGGTTCTCAACCTTTTGACTAACGCGTTATCATCTAAACAAAAATTGAAAACCTTTAGTACCACCACTATAAAGTACTACTACCACCACCACTCTTGAACAAAGCTCAGATCGCATAAATTTATGAGTGTCAGAGAAAAAACTCAATCAGGATTTTGGGGTTTTAATTTTTGAATTTAATAGTTAAAAATACTTTACTTCTTTGCGTACCACCTGTTTTCCTCTTGTTTTACCACCAGTTGAGAACCCCTGTCATAGACCGTAACCTAAGATGTGGACTTGCAAATTTTTATTTATGTATTTATTTATTTTTATAAAATAGGCAGAATGGTTTATTGAAGAAACTAAACCAGATGGCTCTTGGCCAGATGATGGAATGGTAAAATTTGATGATTATTCTACCTGCTATAGAGAAGGCCTGGAATTGGTTTTGAAAGGAATCTCTTGTGATATTCAGCCAAAAGAAAGGGTAAAAATTTTCTGTTACTTTTATTGACTAATGATCAGATTGAAATGTTTACTCTTTGAACACATAAGCTTCACATGCATATCATATGTATGATATTTCATGCACATGCATCTTCTAATTAATGCAAAATGAAAACTATTGTATAAGGTAAATAAAATACTTGTAATTAATGGCTCCTACTTGAAAAACAAGAATAAGTAAAATGATATATTATTAAAATTTGGAAATATCTGTGATATCATATCATGGGTGGCAGAACCTCACTTTTTTTTTTTTTTTTTTTTTTTTCAGTTGCAGCAACCCCCCCTTCTTTTTTTTTGCTTATAGGGAAGTTAGATTTTTGCAACCTAAAGCCAACAAAAGAATCTACAGAGCAAGTTTCTTGATATTTTAACGCTTTAGACTTATTTGTGAAACAGTTTACTCTCAAATAAAAATTTAAGCTATTTTTTTAAATGCCCTATATTATCAATTAAATGTTTCATCATTAATAGAAATGATGGAGAAGTATTTTATCAAAAGTGTTCAACTAAAGATATGATAACTTGGCTCATACGTGGTACAGTGAGCCTAATATGTAATTGTACTCCTAATCCTGTTAGCATTTTAATCCTTATATTAAACCAATGGTTAATCCCTGCTTTAGTCACCAAGTTCTATTTAAACAAGTTGAATTAAGGTGTCCTTTATGTGCTTTTATGGTGTATTTATTAGCATTTCAGTTTACCTTCATACTTTCAAATTCCTCATCTGGGGCCGTCTTAGTCATAGAAATAACTCATTCGCAGACTCAAGCTGATCTGGTGGTATTTGTTCTGCCAATTGTCAATTGCTTTTTTGATAACCTAGTCAGTGCCTTTACAGAACAATTGTCAGCTCATCAATATTGAGTATGGTAAAAGCTCGACTATTCGGAAAGTTTGTGAAATTACAAATTTCAGTTAGTTAAGCATATAAAAACTGCAAATTAGGATGCAAAAACCAACTGAATGGAAGAAATTTCCACAGGTAGAATGTAAAATGCCTGCATTTAAAATTTTATTCAAATAAAACATTTTATCTGATTATGAAATTCTATTGACCATGAAATTTGATGGATTCTAGCAGTTTAAAGGAACAGATTGTTTTTTTTTATTTAGTTGTATAATCAACCGATACAAAATATGGATATAGCATATAAAAAATTTTAATCACTTTTCATAATTTTTTTACCTTGAAAATTACCATTGCTTATCCATTTTCAAATAATATTTTATGTCATAGCCATTAACACACACTTTACTTGATGCCAGAATCCTCAAACATTAAAAATACTCCTCTGTATACTATTTCATGGAAGGCACATCCCAAATTTTAGTCATTTCTTCAAAGCGCAAAAGAAAAACAGATAAATAGCAAATAATGTAGAGTCTTTCTCTTAAAAATTAAACTAGCTTTTCAAGAATTAATCAGGTTTACCTAAAATCAAACCAAAGAGCCTCTGATTGTGCTGTAACATTATTGATAGTAAAATCACATTGTTGACAACAGTGCTATATAAAGTGTACTGTATAATGTCCCTCATTTTCTTAGTTTTTCAGAGATGAAATGTTTCTAAAATATTTCATTTACTTGAGGTTTCCAGTTAGTTGAATGCCAGATAGTTGGACTTTTACTTTATTCAAAATTCTAGCTTTTAATTCATGAAAAGGTACAGAGAATGTTTCAAGATACCTAACTCAAAGACTACGGTTTTATTTGCATATTTTGTATTTAGTAGTTAAAGGGAAGGGGGAAAGAAACACATTGAGATATGTCATTACATTCATTTAAGAGTTTTTCATCTATTACATATGAACATGAGGACCAAGGATCTTTTGTTTATCTTCCATGCTATAAAAACTGCATTGTTTAGCAGCATAATAAAGTAATTCTATCTATACTACCTAGTAATATTTGCAGTATTTTTTTTATACTGTTAATATCTTGACTAAGATATGTTTTTAACATTATTTTAATACTGTATTTACTCAAAAATAAGACCCCTCTTTTTTGCTGTATTTTTATTCGAAAATTTGACCAGGTCTTATAAATAAAGCTCCAAAATAAAAGGAAGGAGTTGAACTCTCTACTGTATAGAACAACTGCGCAGTTTAAATACTAAATAAACCACAGGTAACTACTGTGTATATAAACTGCATTGAGTGATTTCAGTTTAGACCTGCATCCACAACATTAATTACTGGTATGCCTGAAAACAAATAAGTAATAGAGTATCATTAATTGCCCCTGTGTTTTTGTTGCTGTACCGTAGAAACATATTGTATTTAATTAGAGAGTTAGTCTTTCATTCTAATCAGGAACCATGCTCTCATTGTATATTCACTTACATTTCTATTTTTAAAAATTTATCTAAAATGTAAGAGTATGTTATATTCAGAAGGGTTGTTTATGAGTAAATATAATATTTCCATTGTAAAAATTCTGATTTTAATTTTTGGATGCAATATGATCCGCTTCCAAATTAAATTTTGTGTTATGAGAAACTTTTTAATAATATATGCATAGCAATCTACTATGTGTATTTTCTTTCGTAAAAAAAAAAAAAAAAAAAAAAAAAAAATTAAAGTCATCATATTTTTTGTAACTATAGAATTTTTTAATGTTTTCCTAGTTACAATTTTATATTCAAAAAATCTGATGTGTACACCACATAACTTCCTTGTGCAGAATATTAAATTATATGCATTTTTTCTTGCATTTCATTCAAACTTATTGGATTAAATTCAATCTACTTCGTCAGTAGTGCATAATCCACAACAGAATAAATGCACTTTTTAAAATTCACTATATTTGTTTACCATAGTGACACTCTGGCGCTAGGTTCACTTAACAGCCTTACATCTCATTCATTTTATAACTCAGAATGCACAAAATTTACATCATCTGAAGAATTATCTAATCTTTGCTACATGTTCTATTCAAATACTATAACAAATCTGAAGCATTGTATAAAAGAAATAATTAAACAAACAAACCAAAAAGAAAGAAAGAAACAGTTTTTTACAGATGGTTTAGTATTTTTCATTTAATTAATTCAGTTCTTCCTTCACAACAAGGCAAAAATACACAAAAGCTCAAAATATCGATATTAAAAATTACGAAGTAAATCCTAAACTCTTATTTCATCGAATAAATTCCAGAATGGATTAATCATGATTTAATACGCAATAATAAAAGAAGGCGTTACCTTTGTTGTTGCGAACCTTAGTTTCTCTAGATTGGCAATAAATCCACTATTCTGTTAAGTTTCAAATGTAAACAAACATGTCTGCTATACAGTCAAAAGTCGTTAATCCAGACTCGTCGGGACTTCGGCGATTCCGGATTATCGATTTTTCTGGATTATAGATCATCAGTTTAAATCTCGTAAGATGGCATGCAGAAATTCTAAAATTAAAAATACGAAACCGTAATTTATGAAATAAAGAACAATTATGATCTAAAGGGTATCAAAATTTGCAAAAAGAAAAAGCTTAATATTTATTTGTTTACTTTATTAAACATTTCTTTCAATGTAAGTTGTTTAAGTTTTGCTTCGTTTCATGTGATAATACTTTCTCTTTAATTCTATTAAACAGACATAATTTCTTGTTCAGTTACAAAGTTCCGCTGTTCAAGTCCTATAATTGCTGTGTCAAGAAGAACACCGACTAATTTGTCAATCGAAATTTTTTCGTTTTCAATAACCTCTGTTACTTTCTCTCGCTATCAGAAGCGAATTATAATGACGAGAAACTTGTTTTAAATCATATCAAAGACGGAGCATATCGAGATGAAATACTACATTTGGTAAGGAATTATAAGCCAAATAAAATAAAAACATCTGCGCTGAAGATAAGGATAGTGCTGACAAATCAACTTCCAATTCATTAGCGCCCGCCGTTGCATTCCCCCCCGCCGAGCAGCGTGAAATTGATAAACGATTTCGGATTTCAAAACATACTTTCGCTTTAGATCCTTTACATATTAACAAATATATATCGGAAATTCTATTTGATATAATCGAAAGTTTAAGCTTACTTTTATAAAATTGCTCTACAGTCTGCAAAAAATAATAAGCCGGATCCAATTTGAAAATTAAGGAACAACGCAATCATCAACATTAACTGAAATAGATAATTAGATAATTTTAGCTTATACGTCTATTTATACATAAAACGCGCACGCCAAAACGTATTCTGCACTTGCGCACACTCATATGCGCAGTCGTAAAAGGTCTTACGCGCACGCGTAAACGCCTATGCGCATGTGTCAACGCGGCGCATGCGCAGAAAGTTTTTAGTTTTGAGCTCCGGATTATAGATCATTCCGAATTATGGGTGTCCGAATTAACGACTTTTGACTGTAGTAAAAAAAATTAGGCTTAGCATACTTAAACAACTTTTCAATTGTTGATAATTCTACAAATTTGCATGCAGATTTACTAAAGGCATAAAAACCTTAACCAGAAGATAAGAACAACACAATTCAATGATTTTTAAATCAAAAAATGTGCAATTTACAAACATAAAAATAAAGAAACTGAGATCACTTAGACGCGTAACACAGTGTATATACTTTTGGCGCAGCTGATTTCAGCCAAAATAGGAGATGTGCATCTACATGATATAGCAGTCCTATATACAAAATTTCAACGTTCTGAGGCTACTCGTTTTTGAGTTATGCAAGATACATACATATGCACAGGTGCCACAAAAAATTCTCTTCGGAATACATTTTAAATCAGTTTTATAATTTTTTGGAGGAGGAAAAAATCTTTTATTCTGTCTTTATGTACAGATGTTACGCAAAAACATCGTTAAATTGCTTTTGATAGTGATCAAAATGGATATTTTTGTTGAAATATGATACCTGAAATTTTTCGTGATTACAATACTTTCTTTTTGAGTTGAGTTTTGTATTTTATTGAATGATAATGTTTGATGAAATCTGCTTTTAGATTAGATTTGCCACCTTAATCAGTATAGTGGTTAATGCTCTTGGTTGCTATAATGTTAGTTGGGTTTAGATTTGAATCCTGGAGACTGTTCAAATCTGCTGGAGATGGCATGGATGTTTAGTGTTTGTGTGGTAGGGGGGCAGTCAAAATACACAGTGGGGTAAAAGTCCAGTTGGTTTGATGGTAGAGGAAGAGGGGTTGAAAACCCTCAGACCCATTTCCCAGCGTCTAAATTGAGATGGAGCTGGGCAGGGTCACCTGTATGGGACTTAAGGCCCATACCAGTGACAGATGCAGTTTTGAGCTCCTTGACATGATAAAAATCCGTGGTTTTCTGATTAGTCAGGCAAGTAAGATAAGACACAACACTAATAGATTCTGAAAACTTTTCCAGAATGAAAAATAAATAAATAAAATAAGTAACTTATATAAACTTTATTAGTTTGAATATAAGATGAACATTTAAATATTTTTCCGAATCTGTTTGTTAAAAGTGTTTTCATTGCATATAACGTTAATTTTTTTCTCGCAGTGTGGCATTGTTGGGAGAACTGGTGCTGGGAAATCATCTCTCACCTTAGCATTATTTCGCATCATTGAGGCTGCCGGTGGTAAAATTTTTATTGATGGTATTGATATTGCCAAACTTGGACTGCATAATTTACGCTCAAAGCTTACTATAATACCCCAGGTAAGTCTAATAATTTTCATGATACATATTCGCATGCATCTCTTTTCTTGGTTGTTTTAGCATATTATTTAGAAACTTAATTTATTTGCATATTTTCAGCTTTGTCTTTAAATTTAAGAAGTATGTCCTATTCATGACTTTGTAATTATATTCCAGAGCTGTTCATTCATTCCTTCAAAATCCTAGCCAGATAAATAACATCTTCAGATTTTAGCCCTTATGTGCTACTCTGATTCGCTGTGTGCTTTTGTGTGTAAGCAATATATCACAAACTCCACAAAGTATTAAATTTTTAGCCGCTTTTCATAAACTTCGGACTTTCTGTTGTACTTTATCAGAAGATATAAGAATAGTTGAATTTCAGGGCATGGACATTTATTCCACGACAATAAAGAACTGTGGTATAAAATCAAATGCATTTGATAATTACAGAAAAAGCATTATATAAATCTGCTTAGTATCTCATTAATTTTATAATAACAGGTCATTTAATTAAGTCATACTCAAAAATAGGTTTACAAATATTATTACTACTATTATTACTATTGACAAAAGAAAATATTAAATCCAAACATTTCTTCTCTTTTTTGCACTTTCTAACTCTGGAAGAAAAAAAATTAAAATTAGCATTTTGCCAGCAAACAGGAATGACATCATTATCACATGATATGCAAAGGACTCGTGCATTTTTCTGCCATAATGCCAGTTATAGTGTGCTCTTTCTTGTGCCCTCAGTTAAAAAGAAACAGAAGAAGTAGGATATACCTGAATCTTTCCAGTGCTATTTTGTTAGAAATGATAAAAGCACTACTCTATGAAACAAATGAACTGAAGACTTTGTTGTTGTTGTTTTCAGAAATATAAAAAAAAATTTACATCCAACAAGATTTCAAATTTTAGTGGGTTTATTGGGAACGACAGTGATGGCCTAGATCTGGATCTTTTAATGTTACTATGAAAAAGTATTTAAATTTACCTTCCCCCTCAGCTTTTCCGTGTTGTACCTCGATCGCATGAGATGATATGGTGATCAGTAAAGTCAGCTGGCTTACCAATGGACTCCTGTTGAAATCTCAGAGAAGGCACAGATGTTTGTAAATATATAATGTTGGTGCAGTAGAAGGACACTTAAAAATTCATCTAGCCAAAAGTTCTTTCCAGAATTTGAAGGTACATTGTGCAAAAATATTTGGTAATTGTAAAATTAGTATAATAAGTTAAAGAAATATCAAAACTTTAAAAATTTTTGCCGATCCCCCCCTCCCTGCTGCAGGTCGCGACCCACAGTTTAAGAAACCCTGCTCTAGAGCATTGCCAAAGGTGCATCACAGGTGGCATCCTGGGCAGCTGTTGACAAATTTACACTCATGAGAAAGGGAAAGTTCTTTTCCAGTTTGGGTTCAGAACACTTCAGGAGGTGGATTTGAAGCCTACCGCTCCTTCTTCTGCCATCAACATCTGTAGAAGACTTTCAACTTGACAGTATTTTAAAGTCCTTCAAGCTACAAAAATGTTAACACACACAAAAATTCATATATTTCCTAGTCTTAGAACCAAAGGTTATAGCAGCTGGCTATCTTACAAATATGCAAAGAAGGTGGCCTGTTTAGAAAAATAGCACTTGATAATGTGCTTTCAGAAAATGAGTTTCAGGGAGAGAAGAGTGAACTATTGTTCACATATTAAAATCCTTTTTTTAAACAGGTTTAACAAAATTTGAAATGTGGCAAAATTTTCAAACATAATGCCTTAAAAATTATTTAAGCGCTTCTTGTGTGATAAAATATTCAGTGAAAAATAGTGTCTTTTTAAGTTTACTTACAGGTATGATGAGTACATTTGGTGAAAATGTGCTTTAGCCCACTGCTTGGCGATTTTTTGAAAATCGCCAGTAAAATCTCAGAATACGTTGCGTAAAAAGTAAGTTGCTAAGGCGGAGCTAAGTGACGTTCATAAATGGGTGAAACTAAAATTGTGATGTCACAATGTATTCTCTGTAGATATAGAAATAAGTATAATAAATTCTTTATATTTTAAGTAATAATAATGCAGTAAGTGAATTGTACCAGTTATTGAAACGGTAAACAACATCGCAGTCTCTCATATTTGTATTTCATACAGCTTCAGTATTTCAAAGATTTTTGAATTTATACAAATAAAAAAAGATTTTTATTATTAAATTTATTGTGGCAATTATGTCAGAATGTTGCAAATTATTGCGTGTCTTTTAAATAAAATAGTATATACTCCAATTTACGTTAAATCTACTAATATAAGGGCTTAATAAATTTCAAGACTTACCCCCCTTTGATTTTTTTTATACTGGATTATATTCCGGATAGCTACTAGAAAAATACTAACTTCTTCTTTTGTGAACGATTCAATGTAAAATAAATGATACACATGATTTTGATTTTGGGGGGGGGGGGGTTATATTGACATATTATTATTTAGTACATTTTTAATTTAAAAGATATAATCATTTAAAGAACAATATCCGATTACAGCCGATTCAAAAACTACCAAAAATCGAGTTCAAGTTCTAAAAAAATAGTGCTAGTTTCTACGGGTTTCATCTTGGTTTCTCTCTGTCTGCCAATATACTCGAATCAATAACTATTTCCCTCTATTTTTTTTCTTTCTCTTTTACCGGAGTAGTTGCCAACAAATTTTAATTCATATTATCGAAACATTTTAATTTTATCATTTTTACAAATTACCTTGTTGCTACGTAATGGACACAATCCCTTTAGGTACTAGTAAGTAGACAATCTTCATTATTTTCTAAAACTTTTAAACTTTACATTAATAAAAAAAATAAAATATTTTTTATTGCAGATCATATCATCATACACAGCTTTCACTTATCACTGTTTCTTAAATTCTTAAATCACGTCATATTCTCTATAGTCATACTAGAATTCTATACAGTCTACAAATAAAAAAAAAATCTAATTTCTCACAGTGAAAGAAAATAAACACTACAAATTTGGAACACTAAGCAATGCTTCACACACACACACACACACACATATTATCAATGAACTCATATTATCAAGTGCAATTGTGATAGCAAATATTACGTATTAAAATAAAAAAAAGTGTAAGTTATTTATAGGGTCAAATTTTGCTACTATTGAGTAGATCGTGGGATTATCGATATTTTTGGGAAAGCATTATCAACATATCAAAACCAAACAATTAAAAATACAATAAAAAAGATGTCTAAAGTATAACTTGCAATTAAAACAGCAATGCAAGTTTAAAATACACAAATGACACATTAAATATTGCATATAAAATACGCTACATTACAGCTCGGTATAACATACAGCCTCACTTTGTTCATGTGCACAACGATCTGTATTTGCTCGAAAAACTTCAAAGAATTGCAAAAACTTGGTATCGATGTACACAACCATCTATTTTCACTAAAAAAAATCAGAGAATTGCACAAACTTGGCATTGCGCATTGCTTTGGCTTTGTCCATGTGCAAGTCGATCTATTTTTACTTAGAAAACATTAGAGAATTCCACAAACTCGGCATTGCGCGCTACATTGGTTTTTTCCATGTACACATCCATTTATTTTCGCTAAAAAAATCAGAGAATTACACAAACTTGGCATTTGCGCACTGCCTTGGCTTTGTCTATGTGCAAGTCGATCTATTTTTACTTAGAAAACATTAGACAATTGCACAAACTTGGCATTGCGTGCTACATTGGCTTCGCCCATGTACACATCGATATATTTTCACTTAAAAAAAGTCAGAGAATTGAACAAACTCGGCATTGCGCATAACCTCGGCAATGCGCACTGCATTGGCTTTGCCCATTTGCACATCGATCTATTTTCACTTTAAAAAAAATATCTCAGATTTGCACAACCTCGGTATTGCGCACCACATTGGCTTTGTGATGCAAAAGCAAAGTTTAAAGTTTTTAAAATTAAACATTTAACATGAGTAGCAATAGAAGCTCCCTGAGGTTATGTGCTGTGCAGTTATTGAAGACTATAAAAGGTTTCAAACTTAACCAATTTATTAACAATATATTAAGAAAAATAAAAACACAATGAATAAATTTAAACAATATCAGTAACTTAGAAATTATAATACAACCATCATTATCAAAATTTCATATATCAAATAATATTTTACCTGGTCTCCAAAATACTGTCATTCAATACGGGGGGGGGAAACGTATTCTAAACAGAAATTATGCAGTTTTAAAATGAAATTAGATACACAGTCAATAAGTCCATGCTTAATGGTCACGAAGGCACCTGAAAATTAAATAAAATCCTTGAGAGCACTTAAATCTGGCCTAACTCCGCTCACTATAGTTAAACAAGATGAATCACAGCTTAGAATAACATCACCGCTAACTTATTTTAAATGCCCCCTTCATGAAGAACATGGATGCCACCCACGGCAGTCACTCACATTGTAGCCTCTTTTGAGAATCCAGGAAAAGTCGTCTTGTAGATTGGAACCAAGGAACTTATTCCGGAAAAGTCATCTTGTAGACAGGAACCAAGGAACTTATTCAGGAAAAGTCATCTCGTAAACAGGAACCTCGGAACTTATCCCCGGACTGCACGCATCGCAAGACGTCTTTCAATAGGGGCTTGAAACCGCACACCCAAGAGCCAAGAAAGCAGGAACTAGAAGGAATGAGCCAGAGCGACGCAAGATACTTATACCAGAAGTAGGCATGACGTCATCTCACGGCAACCAATCAGCTATCGGCACGACTCGGCTTTCCAGATGACGTAACATCACGTTTCATTTTTGCATCTTAATTAGGCCGTTCTCAACACAAACAGTGGTAGTGGAAAAAAAAGAAGTAGAAGTAACTACTATATTCCCTTTAAAATAAGAACTAAACTAAATAAACATTTCAAGGAGGAGAGATGATGCAGAAAAAGGTTTACAATAAGTATATTTTCCAACAAATGCCCCCCACATCATCATCTCCGACCTGAAATAAAACTGAATGCCAGTATCTTTACAAAATTCAAAACAAGAATAAATAAATATCACAATTTCATTCATTCA